AAGGAAATTATTCGAATCATCGATAATATTGTCATTAACTGGATCTCTGAGCGCACTACTTCCCTCTATGGTGAGCCTCTTGAAGCTCAGAACTGTAGACGCCAAAGTTTCAGAATATTTCCACAGTATGGTCCAAGACACAGTGAACTACAGGGAGAAGAACAACGTTAAACGCAACGACTTTATGCAACTGCTTATCCAGATCAAGAATCGTGGCAAAGTGGAGGAAGAACACGGTTACCTGGAGCAGAATGGCCATGGAGACTTGGAGAACAAGTCTGATGAGAATGGTACGTACCTCCTGTATACGTTCCGTGTAAATAAATACATTCATTCTTGTCCTGTATGGATGAGCTCGAACTGACCATTGGCTTTCTCAACGAAAGCACTCCACACATCTCTGGGTAACGTATTCTGCATATAGTTACAAAGTTCTCTTCTACCACAACCTTCGAAACACAATCACATTTATGTATATGTATATATATATATTCCCACTTCCTCTCAGTCCGTATGTTATTCAATGGATAATCCTTAACACCTCCCAGCCTAAGTTCACATGCATCAATCAAGCAAAAAAATCTACAAAAAATATTAAGTCGGAAAGAAAATCTGTGCTAAGTGCGTCTAATAATTTCTTCTTGTGTTTAAACCATAACATGACTTTAAAAATCAATCAGTAGATGTAGTGATGGTTTCATTCCACGATAAAGTATCAAAATCTTCCAGTACTTAATTTCCCGTTATAGCTGCATCTTATGACTTATTAGTGACACTATTGCAGTATTGTAGAATATACACTTGCAACAACCTTCGTTTTGCTCTCGTCAAGAGAAATTTAGTTAAGAATTTGGTAATTATTTTTGTCACATAGTTAAAGTTTAGAACTTGATATTTCTCCCAGTGAATGATGTGTTAATTTAATCTGTTATCAGAATAGACAACGATATATTTCCTGCAAGGCATAACCCTGTTACCTGCATTACAGATATGAGGAAAATTTTTCTGACACAATATTCGAACACTCGTATATATTTTAGTAATTTTCCCCTTATTAGCTCGCTTAATCTGAAATATGCCTTATGATATTTCTTGCCTTATAATATGTGAAACTAGGATCATGAATTTAGCCCTTCTTAATACAGGTTTGTCGATGAACTCACTGGCGGCCCAGGCCTTCGTTTTCTTTGTTGCGGGTTTCGAGACTTCGTCAACCACCATGACGCTCTGTCTGTACGAGCTGTCATTGCACCAGGATATACAGGAACGTCTCCGGGAAGAGATCGACATAGTGCTGAAGAAACATGACGGCAAGATTACGTATGAGGCCATCCAGGAGATGGAGTATCTGGATAAAGTTGTCTCAGGTAAGGCTTGCACAAAATTTAAGTATTTAAATTTGCTTCAACGTAGCCTTGATCATCATAAGTATACTCCCTTCAATTACTATCCGTTGCAACCGAATGTCAGTAGGAGCAAAACCATCAATCTATTTCCTCATAGATCTATTCAGTTTCTCCTTCATTGGGTTTTCTACGTAGAGTGTTGCGCTGCAGAATCTGTTCCTTCCTCAGGTATGAGCATGGTGCAAACAGTTTAATTCAAATTTACGTAGAATTGCCTAATATGTTAAAAGTTTTATATTTCACCTTCATAATTTACACTCATCATCAAAGATTATTGGAATCATCAAATGAAAGAGGATAATATGGAGAAAATTATATTATTACTGTGTAGATAAGAACAAAAGTAACAATTTGGCCTAAAACACTCAAGAGTAGAAGCTCCTTGGATGACTTAGGCTTACCTTTGGGAAAATAGTTGGCCTGGCTTCATCTGACTCAGGGAAGGATCAAAAGATTGGCAATTGTGAAATTTATCTTGCATCCTTGAATGACTTAGGCTTACCTTTGGGAAAATAGTTGGCCTGGCTTCATCTGACTCAGGGAAGGATCAAAAGATTGGCAATTGTGAAATTTATCTTGCATCGGTTTTAGTAAATGTGGTACTGTTTCTTGGTTAAATCATTATGAGGTTCTTAAGAAGGCCCTGCACTTTAGCGTTAACAATTTAACCAGTTTCTGCCTACTTTCTAACAGGTTAGTCCTATTAATTTTTTATCTATCATCAAAATTTCTTGTTCATTGATTTCTCATTTCTCTGCTATCTTCCTTCTTTTAGAATAGTCAGATCAATAATACCGACACAGTCACTTCCTCGAAATATACATTCTCTGAGTTCTTGCTGTTACGCACAAAGGAACAGTAAGTAAGAGCGTCCATGTTCCAAAACAAGTTACGGTTGATGAATAATGTTTATTTGTGAGAACAGATAAGGACTTGGCTACTGCAGAAGTTTGCGTGCAATCATCTCTCGATTGATGAAAGTAGTCTTCTGGGTTTTGGCGCCGCGTATTCTTCGTTTTGGCCGACGT